AGAAGTTGCTGGGGTGCCTGGGTGGCTCAGTCGTTAAGCATCTACCTCCGGCTCAGGTCATGATCCCGGAGTCCTGGGATCGAGCCCCACGTCAGGCTCCCTGCTCAGTGGGAATCCTGCTTCTTCCTCTCCCACTCCTCCTGCTTGTGTTCCCTCTCTCAGTGTCAAGTAAATAAATAAAACCTTTAGAAAAAAAAAAAAAAAGGAAAGTTGCAAAATACCATGCAAAATTATATGTATGTGTTTGCTCATCAGTATCCTTACTGATGTATTAAAAGAGTCACACGTATTTCGCTTAAATGATTCTCTGCTCCACAACAACAATCTTAAGAGTGGCACCATGCAGCCACAGTCATCGTCACTGTGTTATGACCTTTTCTCTCTATTAGGTCAATATTTCTCATTAACATCACATGCTTAACATAAAGCTATATCAAATGAGAGTATAGATACAGTATGTAGTGCCCGTATGTGAGTGGTCTATAATTAGGCCAAGAATATAAAATGGGCAACACTGGAGAATGATACAGATGGAAATCAGCACTCAGTTACGTCCCACGTATCCTCTGTGAAACCTTCTCAGATTATTGCAACCTTTGGCAATAGGTTTGATTTTTCACAACCATTTCAGGCTGTGACATATTTTAACATCATGCTGTACCTTTATCATTTTCTAATAGTTCAGTACATGATAATCTGGTCTTTATGGATGAGCTGAGACTGATCGTCAAGCCCTTTGACTGTAAATCCAATTATGTAACACAGTCCCGTGAAGGAAAATGATTAGGTAGAAGTTCTAGATAACAACAAAACACCAATAATTCTTAGAACACCTGCTCATATCTGTTGTGTGTCCATACACGATGAATAATGATGAATATGAAACAGAGGTACAGAGAGGTTAATTACTTTGTCCCAAATAGAAAAATAGTAAGAGACAAAACTCGAAGTCATCCAGGCAGACTGGCTTCAGAGCTGGTGCCCGGGAGAGTCTGTTAAGTGTGTGACCCTGGATGGGTTATTTCATCTCGCTGATTTCTCTTTCTCCATTGGTGGATGGTGGAAAATAATGACTCACTTTATAAAATCGCTATGACAATTGTTAAAAAAAGTACCTCTGGGAGCTTTGTAATCCATGAAGTTCTCTGGCAAATGTATGCTATTACTGTTGTCTTTGCTGCCTTCGTGCTTCCATTTTTCCCCCACGTCACATCAGCTCAACTCATGGGGGAGCAAAGTTTCCACTTAGATTCTTGTAGAGATAAATTGCTTTTGCAGTCACTTACTGACTTTTAAATCTCAACATTCGCGTTCTTACTCAGATTGCACAATACCTATGCCCTAGAACAGCTTATATCTTACTGAAAAAACCACCCGACAAGACGTAATGTGATCAGGCTATAATGAAGTTCTGGATTTTGTGCAAAGACTCTCTAGGCAGGAAGGAGAAAGGCAAGAACTGTGGCACTCAAAGAGTTAAACAAATTTCTCCCAGTTTAGAAAGAAAGACCTGGGATTTTGAATTCTAGCTGTCCTCCTGTGGGAGAAGCATCAACAAGTTTCATATTGTATTTATGCTACACAGCAACCTATGTGCATGGTCTTTAGTCCTGCCTTTCCTGCATCTTTTCCCACAAAGACTGTCCTTGACCAACACCAGAAATGAATTTGATTTCTCTAATGCAGAAGGTAATTGGATTTTTCTTTATTGAATGCATCCCTTTAATGACTGTCTCTGCTCCTGCCAATTTAGCTGCAAGTGACCTGACATCGATCTGATGATATGACTTAAAATAAAGAGTTGGAACTGGAGGTGAAAAAGACCAGCTGTCTGGAATCAGGAAAAAAGAAAGAAAGAAAAAAGTGTGCTGCTTTTTTTGTTTGTTTTTACCTCATCTTGCCATTTTCCCGAGAAAATCCTTTATCCTTGAATGTCATTTTTACAAAACATGCTGCTGTATAATTGGTCATACAGCAGCAGATTGCCTTCTTCTAGAAAATATAATAAGTATTTCCCAGAAAGTGCCCTGGAGAAAACATTGAAAATTGAATAAAATCCACCCAGTAATCATTCTGTTCCTTGGAAATATTTATTACCATGTAGACTGTTTCTGGAACAGGGTAAATATTGCTGAACAGAATTAATTAAATCTTTTAGGAAGCTGGTAAAACATGAAATATTTATTTAAGTATTTATTTACTTAACCTTGAGGTTTTGTAAAAATAAAGCTTGACACAAGAGTTGCTATTGAAGAAAGTTACAAAGGAGTAGTGGATGAAATTGTTGTTTGGAAGAATAACAATTCCTTTCTCAAGGGAAGTTATGATTTAAAACGCTTTTTATGGGACGCCTGGGTGGCTCAGTTGGTTAAGCAGCTGCCTTCGGCTCAGGTCATGATCCCAGCGTCCTGGGATCGAGTCCCACATCGGGCTCCTTGCTTGGCAGGGAGCCTGCTTCTCCCTCTGCCTCTGCCTGCCGCTCTGTCTGCCTGTGTTCGCTCTCGCTTCTCTCTCTATGACAAATAAATAAATAAAATCTTAAAAAAAAAAAAATAAAACGCTTTTTATACCCAAGAATATATGGAATTTAAATTTTTCTACTTTTGCCTTGTTTTACTTTTTAGTAATAGCGTAACTCACTTGATTCATGCTTAAATTTTATTATATCATCTTTCCTTTGTTCATTCTGACAATATCATGAATTTTCTTTGATCAACGATACAATGCATGAGCATTAGAGTGAGAAAATAAACACTTGTAAATTTAAATTGTAAAGAAGAAAATGAGAAAATCATAAATTTCTTCCTAAAAAGGAGTGAAATCAATGTTTTCCCTTTTGAATTTTTAATGTTAGTTGCACTCACAATTATCAATGTAATTAACAATTTCAAGAAATTAACTGAGTTTGTATTAAAACCATTTGTGACATTTGTTGAATTTGAAGTTTCAAAGCCACATCACACAAAATTATTACAAGCCCTATGTTAGAGCTGGTATAAATCTGCAGTGTTACTCGGTGAAGAGCAGTGAACTTCCTTTGGTTCTCATTAACCAAGAGAAACATGGGAGTTCCAGTCTAAGATATTATGTTGAGAAAGAATATAAAGAAGAATTAAGAGTGAGTGTTTCCTGGAGACTGGGCTCCTTAACCTCTGCTCAGACTGCATTTTATTTTATTTTTTTTTAAAGATTTTATCCATTTATTTGACAGACAGAGATCACAAGTAGGCAGAGAGGCAGGCAGAGAGAGAGAGAAGGGGAAGCAGGCTCCCCGCTGCCCAGAGAGCCCAATGCGGGGCTCGATCCCAGGACCCTGGGATCATGACCTGAGTCGAAGGCAGAGGCTTTAACCCACTGAGCCACCCAGGCGCCCCTCAGACTGCATTTTAAATGAGCATGTGAAGCCCTGACATATTTCCAGAGGCCATTTCTGGGCTGCTGTGTAGCACAACAAGGTGGGCTTGCTTGAGAATTGATGTGCCTTCCACAGAAAGTCCAGTAGGATTGAAGGGGTCATTGATCCAGAAAGACTCCCACTGAATAAAAATATTTCATCATAAATGATTAAATTTCACCCATTGCAAGTCAGGCCATTGTTGGAAGTTATACTTAAGTGCAATATTAACACCTTAAGAGCAAGAGAGAAGTATATTTTAATGGATGTGAGAATTCTTCCTTACTCGATTCTCTAAGGAAGGAGAATTCTTCATTACTCAATTTATATTCATTCTGTATAAATTTTCTTAATTTTGAATTGGCTTTGATTGTTTGAATGTGAACATTATTAAATGCAAATCCAATTAGTAACAATATTTTCTTCTCTTGAAGAAAAGAAAAAAAAGTGTATGTGTGTGATTGTGTGTACCCATATACAAATACATTTTCTTTTATGAGAAGAAAGAAGGAAATTCATTCCACATCCCATCAGGCTTTTAAAAATGATTTTATAATAGGTTACCTATTTATGATACTTTGGACATTTTCTGAAACCATTAATATGGGATGTGGCCAATGAGTAATTTGTTTATGCATTTTCAAAAATAAGCATTTATATAAAATCATTTTGTCATTTCTTCTTTTAGCAAATATTATAAAAGAAACTTAGACATTGAAAGGGATATAGAGACAAATCTTCACCTTCAAGGATTTTAAAGCCTAGTAGAGAGAACAAATGTATCTAGTAAATAAAATAGAAAGTTGAAAGCAGTGAGCCACATAAGAAGGAGGGATCCAGAGCTATGGTTGGAGGGGACAGTGAAGATATCACAGTGTGTGTTGGTGATGTGACTTTGTCTAGACCTCAGAAGATGGGCAGAATCTGTGCATCTGAGAAAGAGAGGTAGAATATTTTTGGAAGAAGACATAGAACTGCAAATGGTGTGGAGGAGAAAGAGAGGTAGAATATTTTTGGAAGAAGACATAGAACTGCAAATGGTGTGGAG